GTTAAACGTCGTTTGCATTTTTCTTCCCCTTTTTTCTCTGGATGTACCACCGGTGAAAGACCTTGTAACTCTCCACTGTGCGATGTTTTCAAATTTTTTTTTATATTCCTCACCCTATTCGGTTCAAGAGGTGATTTATGTAATGGAGTAGCCGCCCTAATAGCTTCACCGACACCATTTTTCTGTTTATTTTCATTAAAATAATTGTATTCTTTCTTGTCACTCTCAATGAAACTTTCTTCCTCGTCACTTATAGAAATTATACTACAGTCTTTGTTTCCTTCGTCTTTAATAACTTTATAGTCCCAGTCCAAGTCTTCGTTTTTTTGTCCAAAAGTAACGTATTTTGAGTCAATTTCATATGTACTTCTAGTCTTATTTGATACTGCTTTACTGTGTTCCGTGCTAGATCCAGCTGGCAAACCTGATAAGCTATTAACGGTTTTTAGTGGAATTCTATTATCTTCCCTTACTTCTTGAATTTCTTGAACTTCTTGAATTTTCTTGAGTAATAGTTTTTTAGGTAAGGCTGATATATTTTCTTTATCCATGTCTATATAACACTTGTTTTAACCGTTTTTACTACACTTATTTTTATTTACACGCCCCGCACGACCGTTAACATAAGATAGTTACCTTCTAGAAAAAAAAAATCTTCAACCATCTACCCACACTAACGACTTATAACCTTATTTTTTATTAATTAAAAATTTGGAATTGGGATGCTTGTCCTTTAAGCCACGTCTTCATTTTATTCTGGATCTTCGTCTTTATAGATTTTTTTTCACAATATGCTGATGCATCACATTGCTCAGCTCAGCTCAATCCAGCGAACAGTCGATGGCGACAGTAATTCAAGTTCATAAGGCACCTAAGCGATCAAAATAACTTGAAATTTATATCAACATCAAAACATTTGTTTCGTCGTTTTCTCTAATAGTTTACATTCGCAGACACTTTGTGTTGACGATGCGTGAGCTCAGTGGGGGTTAGGAAAGATGGCCGCTTAGCTGAAAACAAAAAGATTCACGCCCGGCCATCATGCAATCGTGACTTGAACAAAAGGTGCACCTGCCGCCATACTGTACGTCGCTGCATGGATGAAGCCATGTAATTGGTCATCTGACCATAATCAAGTCATTTTATTTCTGTGCTGCGTTCTAGCGTACTTGAAACTTGAAAGTGTACTTGTGTAGTCAACACAATAATCTTTGATTGTTGTATGTGTCCAAATTCATATCTTCATAAAATCATAGTTTATACGTAAGTTATTTCGCGTATTTTAGACAACATAATGACATCACTTCGACTTCAAGCCAATTTTGTTCCACGCTTGCATAATGAAATTGCGGTTTTCATTAAAATCGACTCTGTATATTTTATATATGTAATCAAAATAAGGTAAAAGTGTAAAAAGACACGATTGTGGCAATACGAAGTAATTTTAACAAGTTTCTTACAGTGTGAACTGTGAACACTAATAAGCTAGGACCTTAACTGCCTGTGTTTAATGATTAGGTATTGTTGAGTTAAATAACTCGCATAACTTGCGCTAGTCAGGAAGAACAGAAATATATAATGTTGTCGACGACTCCGTGGCGCAGTGGTTTAGCAATGAGTGGCTGCGCTGGGGGTCGCGGGTTCGGATCCCGCACGGAACAAATATTTGTATGTCCTTGTTTATGCCAAGTTGTGGCATTTGAAGCTTGCAAGGCGCGTCCCGGGTGAGGAACCGGTTAGCGGGTTGCGAGGGGGTTTGCGTCTTGCGCCGGTGACCGCGAGTGGCAGTCGGCGGGAATCTTTTGAGCGCTGAAGCCGCGCCGGTGGGGGTCGCGAAATTAGACTAGAACATTCGATTTGCGCGACTCGCGGGTCGTTTAGAGGTCGCGAGTTTTTTGATAACGATTACGGCGTCGAAAAAAGACGGCCTCCATGGTGTGGTACTTTGTCGTTAATATAGGTGACAACGAGGCTTTTTGAATTATTGAATTAACTTAGATTGCTATTAATTTGCTTCGAAGGGTGGCTCGTTTAGTTAATTTTGTAAGAAGGAATTTTACTTTGTCGCGTGGGACGCTAAACTTTGTAATCCGGAGGAGATCGCGTTCCCTCCGATTATATTTGTGCTAAGTGACGTTGGACTTTAGTTCCGATAGCAGCTAACGCCCTCTGGATTGATTGCACAAGAGAAGCTGGGCAGTGCATGCGGTTCTGCTATCTGATTATATCGGTGACGTCAGGTTACATTATACACTTTCCTACACTACACACACACACTACCATTTACTTGCCCCTAACGCCATCTTGTGGTAGACCCTACTTCTGGAATTCGGTAAGTTTCGTGTTTGCGTATCTAGCTGTTATAAATTAATTATCCATAGACCCTTGGGCCCTCCCCCTCAGTTACTCGTCGAGTTGGATTACTATGGGCCCTAATCCAGTCGACCTTTGTCGGGGTAATTGAGGGCCGTAACAGTCCTACAAATAATTGTTCCGGGTCTGGATGTTTGTCCTTGTGCAATTTATGTTTATAAACTGCCCCCACGATACAGGAGAAAATCCTAGTGTAGGGGTTACGTTTTTATCAAAAAACAAAAAAAAAACAATATAATATACATATGTACGGCACGGCTGTAGGGTCACCATATACGCAATATTTGTTAAGACACAATTTTATTTCAAAATCAAGCCATAAGTATTATTATAAACAAATATTTGTTATCATGGCTTATCTTTGCCATGGTTACAACGCTTAGCAGGCTGTAGTGTAGTGCTCCCAAGTTAATATACTTTAAGGTAGAATAATGACGCAGTCTAATTAAAGTTTTAGTACCAACCACACGTCTCCTTCATTGACACCCTTCCTATATTACATGGCGGGGTCGCCATTAGTGCCAGGCGGTGCGCTGCAACAATCCATGCACACCGCCGGGCTAAGTTAAAAGGTGGAAAAAAAATACTGAATTAAAGAATGAAGATAAAATAAATTTATATACGGAATGGATGAAATACCGGATTTGACAATAATAAATAAGCTGCCGTGACTGAAATTCGGTCTGGAGGACACTACATACATTACGTCAAGGCACTCTGACCACGTTTAGCCCAAAAATATAGGTATAAATGGAAATTAGTGAAACAAGTGATAGGTGGAAAGCCTATTGGACACGCAATCACAAACCAAATATCAATAACATGCTAGATATTCGTTCCATGATTGAAAAGGGAAAGAAGTAGTTGTATTCTAGCGGGCATCACCCAGAAGGATGTGAAAATTAAGCCGAAAAGAATAAAGTAGAATTTGAGAGGTAAATTGTGTGATTTTTAATTCCATTTAAAACTTTAATAATTTGAGATTTTTTAATGTTGTTTTTGCTTTTAAAAAAAAAAGTTATGTATAAAATTTTCTGTACTTAAAATATGATTAAATTGAAAGTATTTATCAGATTATTCACGATTTAATTGTTTTTTTTTAAATATTTATATAATTTTATTCAGTTATAGTTTTATATTATTTTTATTACTGTGTCCTGCAAAACTTGAATGAAATAATATGAAGACTACATTTTTACGTATTTACATTTACAATTGTTTATCATTAATTAATTTTTCATATTTTGTAGTTAGCATATCACTGATGATACATTTCGTGTGTGTTTTTATGTAGTAAATTTTATTTAAATGTACACAATTTTGAAAAGAGTTATAACCGATTTGCTATTATCGTTTTTTTTTCTAAAGGCATTAAATCGTTAATTTATATTGTTGCGCGGCTAAGTAGAATCTGGCACTAGTGCCATCTAGTGTCAGGTAACGGAGCGAGGGGGAGAGCTTTCCAGAAAATGACATCACTAATCTTTCAACCGACAGCGCCATCTGTTGTCGAAACGAAGAACTAAGCTTCTGGAAGCTGACTCTCGAACTTTCGGCGCTTTGTCGATTGGTGCGCGTATTTACTTGAATGTTCTGGATGATTCGGTACTAATGTGTATTTATAGGCGCTGCAAGGTGCGATCGGGGAAGTATTGAATTTGGCGAGACAAGCGAAGCTGCGGAGCGGAATAAAGTGAATTAGTGTGCTTAATTATTGGTGTTTTAAGTTTTAATTTGTGTAAAGAAAATTAAACTGTTAATTTAGGTAATCCTATCGGCAATTTTTATTGTCACGAACCTCAAGCTCGTAACAATATAATAACCTACCTAAAATATTAAAAATTGTTCTTTATAATGTTTAAATAAATAAATCTATCGTTGTGTGAAGTTTATAGCTGTTATAGTGATTTTTTTTAAAAGCATTTTTTATAGCAAAAGTATTTTTTTAAAAAAAGCTAATGCATTTTGTGATGTATGTAAAAGTAACATAAATAGTAACAATGTAACTATTTCTAAACTTCTGTGTAAATTAAGGAACTATCCTTTTAAGGTACATTTTACCTGCATTCATATTATAAATTATTGTAAAAGTTACCTTGAAATTAGGCGTGAACACACCGTGTCATCCTAGTCCGATGTAATTACAAACGATGCCTTATACGTACTTTGGAATTTAAAACAAACTTGTCTTCAAATATTTGCGGTGTTAGGATTACAATTTGTAATTTGATCTGTGTGTTGCTATATTAATTATAATGATTACGTTGCTTAACATTGACTTCTTTGTTCCGTCCGTTTATCTTAATGTGAAATGTAATAATTTATTTTCGGTTTTATATTGTTTGAATATTTAAATCATAAGATTTTAACTATTATAATTTATTATTTTCTTGGAAAACAGTACTAGTAGTACTAACAGTACAGTAGTAGATTATGAAAATATTTTCTTCGGTAATACGATTTTGAAACTCACTACATATATAATGTTTTACACAACTAATTGATTTAAAGTTTGTTGTTCCCATATTGTGAACCTCAAAAGAGATTATTTTATGATTAAAGTAAAAGATGTGATTCAATGTATGGTTAAGTTACGGAATACATAATTATAAATGAAAATATTGATAATGTATAGTTGCGAGAGTAAGATAAAGAAAATTATCGGAGGTTAGTATGTCCACATACAATCAGCCTGATCAGCTGAGAGTTTGGAAAACCTAATAGCCGATTAATTTTTTAAGGTTGTTCGGACACGATTAAATGCGGAATAAGTTTTAATGTATTTTAATGAGGGAAATGATAATTAATTATGAATTTTATAGGAATATTGTCCACTATCTTGATCATGTATGTACGCGAGCCGTATACTTGAAAGTTATGGTACAATTAAATAATGAATTACATGAGCTGAAATGTAAAGAAGTGAATTAAATGATATTGGTAATTTTCTTGATCATGTATATACGCGAGCCGTGTACGTGAAAGAAATGACATAAATGTGTAATGAATATCTAAAGTACTAGTTATGGATAAAATAGGAAAATAAATAGGTAATGGTTAACTAAGAATGAAGTAAATATATGAAAAAAAAAGAATAAAATAAAATATTGAAATGTAAAAGATTATGAAAATTAAGAGAATTTTATTAAAATCGGTTGAGTAGTTTAGGAGCCCATCGCGGACAAACTACGTGACACGTAATTTATATATATTATCATTATGTCCTGACTAGATAAATAGTAGGCATAATAACAAAATGATTAAGGATACGAAAAACTTTGCAAAACGCTTTCTTTTAGTGAGTACTATCTACAAAAAAAATATGGGCTTTGAAATTGATGGTCCATATTGGAAAGATTTACCTTTTATCTATTGGAGGGGATATTCTTGGTTTGAATAATGAGTACATTTTTAAACAACGTCGTGTTTGCCATGCTCACTTTGAAGAGAAATATTTCTGCCGAAATAACAGAATAAGCAATATTGCAGCTATATGATTTCTCATTTTTAATTGTACCATATTATGTAGAAATGATTTTTATGTCATAAATACACAGCATATAATACATTCTTCATCCTTATTAAAAATTAACTTATAGTACACAAAAATTATAATTTTTTTTATAGGGTAAGGGTGATATGTGAGCACATGGCCCACCTGATGGTAAGTGGATGACGTGGCCCATAGATATTGAAATCTATCCTAGGCATGTCGATTCACTCTTAAAAAAATCGATCTGTGAATCGAATTGAATCGAAGGTACTTGAATCGATTATCGATTAAATCGAGGATTAAAAGATCGATTTTCGATTAATCGCGACTTTTTCAAACGTGAAATTTCAAGAATTTTCGATTTTTTTTTCCTTAACTTCTAAACTGTTTTTTATTTATTTTTTAAATATAATATTAGTAATCTTATTGATTAACATTACTAATATTCCTTTTAACCACTCTTGGTAAGCTTGAAACGCTTGTGTTAGGAGTGGTTCGCACATACCCGCTCGATCCCTTTTTTTACAAAGTGATTCCACGTAACAGTTTTATTTGATATTTTAGGCTAAAAACAACAACAATACTTTAACAGAAGTGAAAACTGCAACGTACATTTCTCGATAAATCTGTTTCAATCTAATAACTCACTATTTATCATATCGAAATGAATGCTACACGAACACAATACTGGTTATTTCCTTACTATAAACCTCTATAAACTTCAACGTACGGTATAATATTTATTTACAGTATCTAGGTAAGTATTTATTTACATTAGGTAGGTAAATTACTCTGTCTGTATTTACAGCTCACAGTATGTATATTTTTGATAATAAATAATGTAAATTCACAAGTTCACAGTTCAAACAGGTTCACAGCTATAATATTATATTATAGTACAGGAGGTGAAATATAATATGAAAATATCGCTCGGTCGATCGAAAAAATATTTATAGTTTGGGATGTAATATATATTACATCTCAGTGGAAACGGTTCCATTTAAAAGTACGGTGAGCGCTATTAATTTATATTTCTTAGTGGAAAGTGGGCTTAAGAATTTTAGAAATGAAAATGAAATGACAACTTTTCGATATTGTTGGATGCGTTAATAAACATTTATTTTATTCAAATATATATTGCGTTCAAATTATCAACCAAGTACGACCGGTTGTTTTTGCGCCCCCCAACAGCAAAAAATTAAAAAACTGTGGTATCTTACCCCACCCAGTTTGGAAATTTTAGCTAGTTCTTGTATCAAATGAATCGGTCCGATTCAAGAGGTTTTTAGATCGATTCAGTGAATCGATGCGGTGCTTCGAATCGATCTAAAAAATCGATAATTTTACTCCAAAGAATCGATTTTTCGATTAATCGATTTTAAATCGACATGCCTAATCTATCCTCAATTGCAGATGTGTTGTCCCCCCACTGAGGACTAAGATGGAATGCCTCATATCCGGTAAAAATGATCTCTGGTCCTCACATGAACCAAACGAAACATAGCTGCATTGAGTTGCTATTTTATGCTGGTAGTTTGTGAGAGTATGGTCCTTCCCCAGTCGTGCCAACCCATTCATGTTACAACTATAACACAGCCGCAGCAAGGGTCTACTACTATAAAATGAAATCAAATAAAGGACAAACATTAGTTAATGAGTTGCCATGAATATTTTATGTCATCTAAATATGTCTATCAGTAAACCACATTTTTAATGTTTAAGCAATCAAATGTTCATTGACTATAGTTACGCTTAATGTTTAAACCATTTCATTGTATTTTTCAGAATCAATATCTCTCCCAATATTTACACTCTCTGGAAGAAGGCCACTTAGGCAATTAGAGTATTCTTCCAAACCTGTACCATCAACCTCATCAGGTAATTATACAAAGGTTGCATTTCATTATTGTTAACTGCATGAATGTTTGTTGTATGTTATAATGTTTTTGTAACTTAATAAAAGAAACATTTAACTTTAACACAATATGAAACTTTTACAGGAACTAAAATAACTACACTGCAAAAGTGTCCTCACAAATGTAATCTTAATGTCTTGAGTCGAAATAAAAAAAAAATCATTTAATTTTATTACTGTTACTTTGAGATTTATGATACCAACTCCATTTTTATTACCTCGCTTTACTTTCCATCCAGCTGTGTTAGCTAGCTGTACCTAGTTTATTATATAATTAAATATTGTTACTTTAATAATGGTTTTATTTTAGGTTGTGCTGCTGGTTTTACCACTACATTTTTTGAAACTGATTTTACAGAGAAAGAAAATATTGGTATGTCACTTGCCTGATATTTTTTTAGTTTCATATTATTTAAGACACTTTAGTGGAAATAATATAGCTTGTAACTTATTACTTTACAAGATGGTTCACACTTTATTTTTACTTATTTCCAGTTTGAAAGGTATTTCATTTTTTTTTTGAAGTCTGAATAATTTGAGATGCCTAAAAAAGGGAATGAGATGGCCACTGGGGAATGAGAGGGGTCATCCTCTTTCTAAACAATTAAAAAAAAAACTCAAATTTTACTGGTATACAGTAACCAAATCGAAACATAAATTTGAATTACAAATTTTCATGTACTCAAACTGTGTACAAATGTAAGTTCTCATATTCTACTTAAATAACTAAAATATCCAGTTATCATCCCTTTTTATATATGTAGTACCAGATGTCTAGTTTTATCAAGGTTCAGACTGCAGTGTGATTGGTAATGGATGATGTACTAATAATGGCACTTTTTTAAAATACATGTCAAAATCACACTTGAAAATGATATACGTTTCTGTTATTGTACAGTATGTAAATTATGTTACTATTAAGAATTTTTATTTTATGTACTTTAAATACAATAAATCAAATACAAACCTTATAACTTGTTCCAAAGATCCTACGTTTACGGACTAAAACATGTCCTATTTTTGATATACTTAAAATGAAACAGCCTTATTGACACTAATGTGCTTAATTTTTATGTACTATATATGTATATCTTTATGTATTTTAATTATAAACATGTTATTTCAGAGCCTATGACCAATATCCAGTTACATTCTCATAAGGAAAATGAAGTGGTTCTTGCAAGAAAAGAGATTAAGCAATTAAGTAGAGGTAAAAGACCATTCCCCTAATGAGATATTAAATTAAAATATATACAACTTAGTTCAATATAAGACAAGTACAAATGTAGGCTGAGAGAAAATATAAGTGATTTGAATGAATGTGTATCAATGAGTTACACTTGGAGAATGTGTGGCATAATGTTAAGAAAGGTTTAGTGGATGCAGCTACCGAAGTATGTGGTGTTAGTAAGAGAATGAATGAAAGGAAAGACAATACATTATGGTGGGGTGATGAGGTATGAATGGAAGTTGAAGCAAAGAAGAGAGCTCGGCTAGATTTACTAGCAACCAAAGCCGGTAATTCTGGCGGTATGAATGATGAGATTGGAAGAAAAAAGGCAGAGTTGAAACGCTTAGATAAGAGAGTAATTAGTTGAAAGGAAAAAGCAAGAAGGAAGGGATAAGAATGATAGAAGAATATCGGATAACTTCCAGGCAAATATTAAAATGTTCTGGAAACTTGTAAGAAATACCAGGGGACATTCAAAACTTATGTTTGCAAGATGCAAGATGATGCCATGTGACCAGGATTAAGAAAGGAATGCTTCGGTTGTTCGGTCATGTAGAAAGAATGAATGAGGAAAGACTGACAAAACAAATATATATTGCAGAAGTGAATGGAAGAGTCGGAAAGGGACGCCCTAGGCAAAGTTTGTCGACCAAATTATATATTAAAAATGGGCCAAATTAAGCCCCTTAACCGACGAGCATGTTTGTGTAGGTATATGGATGTAGAAGAGGCGAGAGAGGTATGTCAGGATCGTGCTAAATGGAAGTCTGTAGTCTCTGCCTACCCCTCCGGGTGACAGGCGTGAGTGTTTATGTTATGTTTTTTTTTCAATATGACTATCTTTTAATAAGCTATCCATTATTGTAGAATTTTACATGTGAAAATTTTAATTGTCTTTATTGTTCTAGAGTGCCGTACACCCTCACTTGCTGTCACTCAGAAAATTAAGAAAACCATTGCAACTACTCATGCTGAAAATAAATTGTACTTGAAGCTGGTACAGGTAAAAAATAAACTTGCAAAATGCCGTACTAAGGTTAAGCAGTAGTCAGCAAGTCTTAAAGCAGCAAAAATATTATCAACAATCCTACATTTTTAAATTCACTGGAAAATTTGTGAAGTACTTCAAAGATTTTATTATTAATGCAGTTTAGAGAACATAAAAAGAAAGGCAAAGGCCATCGCTTCTCAATTGAGGAAAAAATACAAGCACTATCGATACTGAAACAAAGTCTAAAATGCTATCGATTTTTGCGTAATATTTTTATATTGCCAGCACCTCGCATGCTTGCTAAATTATTATGCCAAGCAGATGTGAAACCTGGAATTAATGATAAAATCTTCACTCAATTAGCAGATATAATCAAAAAAATGAAAAATGAAGATAAACTTTGTGTGCTTCTTTTTTAATGAAATGGCCCTGAAAGCCAATTTAAAATATAGTGAGAGACTAGACAAGGTTATTGGATTTGTAACTGACGGAAAGTTCACCAAGTCTGACATGGTGGATCATGTACAAGTGTTCATGATTCGGGGACTTCTTAAAAATTATAAAAAGGCTGTTAAAGGTCTTACACTTTCTCTGCTGCTGCTAATTTAGGATCAGAAATAGCAACACATCTAAAGGCGATCGTAAAAAAATTACAAGAAGCCGGTTTTACAGTGGTTGCAACAGTCTGTGACCAGGGTACTAATAATAGACAAGCAATTAAGTTCCTATTAAATGAAACACGAGGTGCCTTTTTAAGAGCAGGAAAAGAGCCCAAAGAAAATTTCATAATGATTGATAATCAAGAGATTATTCCTTTATATGATCCTCCACATCTTTTGAAGTCCATTAGAAATAACTTACTTACAAGGGATCTTCAATATGTTGTAAATAATAAAGCTCAGACAGCCAAATGGCAACATATTGAACTCCTTCATAAAGAAAATCCTGGCTACAAGACTAATACCTAAACTCACAGATAATCATGTTTTACCCACCAAGATCCCTAAGATGAAGGTAAAATATGCAAGTCAAATTTTTAGGCGTACTGTGGCATTTAATATGGGATATCTTGCAGGTAAGAAATAGTTTATTATAATAATTTAATATTCTAATATTGTAATTTTATATTCCGTCTTCCACTCACTTATTCTGATTTGATAAGGGTAACAATGTGTTGGTCTAGGAATAGTATGATAAAAAAATTAGTTGCAGACTATAAATGTACCCTTTTTTATAAGAGATGGGTAAAAAACATGCACATAGTCTACCTGATGGTAAGTGGTTGCTGTGGCCCATAGACATCTACATCTATCCTCGATTACGAATCAAAATGTGAATGCGTTGTCACCCGTGATGATAAAGATAGAATGCCTCTATTGTAATAAGGGTCTCCGGTTCTCTACACTACACCATACAAACCATACAAAACACAGCAGCGTTGAGCTGCTATTTTACGGCGGTATTATGTGAGAGCGTGGTCCTTCCTTGGGTGAGCCGACCCATTCGTGCTACAACTATACTACTTCTATAGCTGCAGTGCTAAGGTTATGTCAGTTTAGATTCAAATTCTGGTTGGTAGACATTTCTCAGACATACAGGCTAGGTAAATTTAGTACTGAAAATTGTAATTAAATGATTAAGGTTGCTATTCATACTGTAACTTTTATAAAACATTAAATATAAAAATGTCTCATTATTTATCAAATTTCTGTTCTTTTATTCGGTTCAGCTTAAGTCTTTTATGTATTTATGGCTAAAATAAATTACGTATTTAATCTATAAAAAAATTGTGTAAATAAAACTATTTTATTTGTGAAATATTTGTGAAAAACAGACTGTTTGGGGAAGAGGAAAAACGGAATAGAGGAGCGACCAATCTACTTGTGTTATGAATGTGGACACCCCGGATACAAAAAATCCCAGTGTAGGAGCACTCAGCAGGCATGACACAGGACTGATGACTGGAGACTTCACGGCTATGAACGTAGCAACTGGAAGTATAACGTAGGCCAAGACGACAGTAAGGCTACTCATCATCAGACCCAGGGGAGAGGTAGAGGAAAGTCATTTCTTACAGGCACTGAAAATACTGAAGGTAACAAATTTGTAAGTTTAATGTCCTTTAGCCCTGACACCAAACAGTAGAAAAAGAATAGTTTTAAATGGGTTGTTCACTCAGGTAGTTCATTTCATCTTGTAAATGACATTAGTTTATTCTATGGGTATGTTCCGAAATACAACTCAGTACACTGGTAAATGCAAATGACGTCATCAATCAGTGGCGAAGCTTCCATAAAAGCCGAAAAGCCGGGCTTGCCTTATTAAAACTGAATCAATCAATAATATCAATCAATAATATCAACTAATAAAATAACTCATAAACTGTTTCAAATTATTTCAATTTTCCCGCGCACTCCACTGTTCGACACATGTCGACCGATGAATTTGTATTGCTTTAGCGATACATTTATACAAAGGTACTCTGTGGTGATACTGCTGCTGTCATAAAGTGAGTTTTAATAAAGCGATTAGTCATCTCACTCGTCGCGTGGGCTTTTTACGGGGCTTTCGAGAAGACGATCGCTCTCTTTCTAACCTATGGCAAAATATTCTATAATGAAATATAACTACGAAATATTTATATAGCAATTACTATTGAGCCAACAAGCCTGGCTTTGCCATGAAGTTGTTTAGGAGTGCGTTAGCGACTAGCAAAGTGGTTGCGGGCCCCTCGTATGCAAGTTCACTTCACATTTCAATGTTTATGTTTGTTTTTGTTGTGTTTGTTAAAAATTTATGCTTTTTCGAAGATTTTCAGTGAAAATGGGAGGATAATAGTGTTCATTGTGATGAATATAAGTGTGTTGAAATGCTAATCGGCGAGGAAAACGTAAAAATCTTTAAAAATGAATTCAAATAACCTCACCAGAAATTCAATAAACATTTCTTCATACTTTAAATATAGGTACAGGACTCTTTAGTATTAAAGTTTAATTAAGTTAGGCGTATTTAAAGGTTTAATAACTCAATATTTATATTATATTTATATTACCATACGAATTAAAAATATCAATTTGAACAGCAGCATAAAGTATGAGACCTATGTTTAATTTTAGAGGAAATAAGTGTTACAATCATTTTTTTAACGTGAAGCCCAAATTTTAATTCATCATCATCATCATTACAGCCCTTCACAAGTCCACTGCTGTACATAGGCCTCCCCCAAGTAACGCCACAAAGCACGGTCCTGAGCCACCTGCATCCATCGACTTCCTGCATGTCTTACCAGATCGTCACTCCATCTAGTGGGGGGTCGCCCTACACTACGCCTACCGGTACGAGGCTGCCACTCGAGAACCTTTCTTCCCCATCGGTTATCGGTTCTTCGAGCTATATGGCCGGCCCATTGCCACTTTAGCTTACTAATCCGTTGGGCTATGTCGGTCACTCTGGTTTTACTGCGGATATCCTCATTTCTGAGCCTATCACGCAGGGAAACTCCGAGCATAGCCCTCTCCATAGCTCGCTGAGCGACCTTGAGCGTCCTCATACGGCCAGCAGTGAAGGACCACGTCCCAGATCCGTAAGTCATCACTAGCAACACGCACTGGTTATACACTTTAGTTTTCAGAGATTGAGGTATACCTGACGAGAAGATGTGTCGTAATTTCCCAAACGCTGCCCAGCCGAGTTGAATCCGTCGATTGACCTCTCGGTCGAAGTTGGACTTACCTAGTCGGACTATTTGTCCCAGGTAAACGTACTCGTCAACAACTTCAAGCATAGTGCTCCCAACAACTACCGGCATAGGTGTAACATGGACATTAAACATGATCTTTGTTTTGTCCATGTTCATCTTAAGACCTATGCGTTGGGAGACACCATTGAGGTCATTGAGCATAGTGCTAAGGTCCTCCAGCGATTCTGCCATAAGGACTATATCGTCGGCAAATCGAAGGTGAGTGATGTACTCGCCATTGATGTTAATACCGTATCCTTTCCAGTCCAGTAGCTTGAAAACGTCCTCCAATGCAGCGGTGAAGAGTTTCGGGGATATAACGTCACCCTGTCTTACACCTCTCTGCAGTTGGATAGGTTTCGAACTCTGGTTCTGTACTCGGATAGCCATCGTAGCCCTACTGTACAAACACTTCAGCACCTCGATATACCGACTCAACGAGTCAACTTGGCACCGCTGAAGGAACTGTAGCACCGCCCAAATTTCGACGGAATCAAAGGCTTTCTAATAGTCCACATATGCCAGGCAAAGTGGCAGATTGTACTCTTCGGTCTTCTGTACAATCTGCCGCAGGGTATGTATGTGGTCTATGGTACTGAAGCCTTTTCGGAAACCGGCTTGTTCGGGAGGCTGGAAGTCGTCGAGTCTGCGTGCGAGACGATTCGTAATGACTCGAAAATAGCATGCAGACGCGGCTCAGAAGGGAAATCGGTCTGTAGTTCTTTAAGAGAGCGTTGTCGCCTTTCTTAAAGAACAAAACCACCGCGCTTCTGCTCCACGCCTCCGGAGTAGTGCCGCCATGGAGGACGGAATTGAAGAGCTTCTGAAGGACTTCAAGTACCGGTGTTCCACCCGCTTTCAGAAGCTCCGCTGTAATTCCATCCTCGCCCGGGGCCTTGCCGTTTTTAAGGTGTTGGAAAGCCATTCTAATCTCGCTCAGACTGACGTCCGGGATATCATCGGAATAGTGTCGGATAAGACTTGCTCTTGGGTCGTTACTCACACTTGAGTGTGGCTCCAACGATGATGTGTACAGCTGTCCATAGAACCTCTCAATCTCACTCAGAATCTCAGGTGTCCCGGAAACGATGTTGCCACGCTCAGTCTTCAGCTTTGACAGTTGGCTCTTTCTGGCAGACATCTCTGGCAAAGATTTTGGAGCCCTGGTTCCGCTCGATCGCTTCTTTAATACGAGAAGTATTAAAGTTGCGTAAGTCTCGCCGCACGCATTTGGAGATCTGTCTGTTCAGTTGCCTGTATGGTGTCAAATCTGTTGACGATTGCAGCCTCATCTCCCGTCTAACAGCCATGAGATTAA